TCTCAAATAATACAAGGTTGAAAACACAATAAAACATTACATTACGAACATTTAAAACCAGTAGTGATAGCTGCTGGTGCAAATTCCGACCCATCAATACTGATTGTTATGGCCGGTTGCTGGCAGATGGGTGGCCAGTAGGTAGGAGACAGCAACCTCGGGGAGGCCATAGGTGGACGCCCGCTGCCTCAACCAAAGGTCTGGTGGAACAGCTCCATCTTTCAGGCCCTGCGGAACTGAGTAAGATCCCGCAGGGCTCTGATCTCAACGGGGAGCACGTTCCACCAGGTGGGGGCCAGGGCAGAAAAGGCCCTGGCCTAGGTTGAGGCTAGACGGAAGTCCTTTGGGCCAGGGACCACCAGGGAACGTTGATTCCTAGAGCGTAAAGCTCTTTGAGGCGTACACAGGAATTAGAGTTGTTGCTCTTTACTGTCAAGTCGCAGCTGACTTAGGGCAACCCCATCGGGTTTTGAAGGCAAGAGACATTCAGAGGTGGTCTGCCATTGCCTGCCTCTGCGTCAGGGCCCTGGTATTCCTTGGTGACCTCCCATCCAAATACTATCAGCTTAGCTGATGAGATCAGGCTAGCCTGGACTATCCATGTCCGGGCAACAGAAGGAGGAGGAGGAGGAGGAGGAGGAGGAGGAGGAGGAGGAGAGGAAGGAGAACTGGTTTCTTTACCCCGCTTTTCACTATCTGAAGGAGTCTCAGGGTGGCTTACAATCACCTTCCCTTCCCCTCCCCACAACGGACACCCTGTGAGGCAGGTGGGCCTGAGAGAACGGTGACTGACCTAAGGTCACCCAGCAGGTTTCATGTGGAAAAGTAGGGAATCAAACCCAGTTTCTCCAGATCAGAGTCCACCACTCTTCACCACGACACCATGCAGACTCGCTTCATGCCTTGTTCGTGGGCTCCCTGGAAACATCTGGTCCTGTTGTCCAGGCTGGGTTGGGACATGCCTTGAGATCTGGGGGTGGAGCCCGGGAAGGGTGGGGTCTGGGAAGAGCCAGGGGTCTGATGGCACAGAGTCCACCTTCCAAAGCAGCCCTTTTCTCCAGAGGAACTGATCTCTGTCGCCTGGGGATCAGTTGTGATTCCGGGAGACCTCCAAGCCCCATCGGGAGGTCAGTAACCCTGAAACCATGGCTCAGTTCGTTCGCTGTGTGAATTGTAGGAACGGTTTCGTGCGATAGACGAACGTGGGACTTGCAACGTCCCCCTGGCCTGCTCCCCGACATGGCTCTCATCACGTTGCAGGCTGGCATACCAACCGGGCATCCCTGGGAGGAGGGTTGTCAGCGCTGGGTTGGGAAATAGCTGGATATTTTGGGGGCGGAGCCTAAGGAGGGCGGGGTTTGGGGATGGGAGGGACTTCAGTGCCAGTTTGGTGTCGTGGTTAAGTGCGCGGACTCTAATCTGGGAGGACCGGGTTTGATTCCCCACTCCTCCACTTGCACCTGGTTGGATGACCTTGGGCAAGCCCTAGTTCTGAAGAGCTGTCCTTGAAAAAGAGCCATTTCTGTCAGAGCTCTCTCGACCCCACCGACCTCACAGGGTGTCTGTTGTGGGGAGGGGAAGGGAAAGGAGTTTGTCAGCCGCTCTGAGACACCTTTGGGTAGTGAAGGGCGGGGTATAAATTCAATCTCTTCTCTTCTTCTTCAGTGGGGTACAAGGTCATAGAGTCCACCTTCCAAGGTGGCCATTTTCTCCAGTTGGTTCAGTATTGCCTAGGGATCATTGGAAATCCCAGGGGGTCTCCAGCCACCACCTGGAGGCTGGCAACCCTATGTGGGAAAGGAAGGGGAAACGATGAAGCCGGCAGCGATCCAAACCAGCCAGGGCTGGAGTGATAGTAGCAAGCCAAATCCTGATTCCACACAATAACTCTAGATCTCCAGGCCCCACCTGGGGGCTGGCAGCCCTGTGCTGATAGTCCCACATGGGCCTTGGGGGGCATTGCCGTGGTTCTGCTCTTTGGCACAACTACTCCGAAGCTAAAATTCCTCCGGGTGAAGTTTCCCCCCCATCACGACCACCCACCAGGCCCGTTTCCCGCTGCTGAATTCCAGCCTGTCACCCAGCGCCCTGCTTCAAGGGACAGGAGTCCAGTCACAAAAGAGAGGCTTGTGTGTCTGTTTGTACTCCTAACTGGCCCAGCTCTGGCTCAGGGGACTTCCTGGAGATTTGGGGGCCCTGCCTGGTGAGTGTGGAGCTGAGGGAGCAGCAAAAGGATGTGATGTCACGCCCTGTGCTTCCTTGACCCGTGACGTCATTTCCAAGTCCAAGGGCAAACCCTCTCACTCGTCCCCTCCCGGTTAAGTCGCTTTCGGAGCTCACATTTTAAAGTTAAAAGCCGTGCCGTACATCACTTATCTCCGCCTCTGTCTCTCCTTTTACATCTTGTAGGTCACTGCACGTCATAATAACCGGACAGTTTTCTGTTGGGAATGCTGGGGCTTTAGAATCCCTGGACGGAGGAGGTGGTTGGGCCAGATGTCCTCTCTAGGACTCCGTTTATGGAACTCTATGGGGCATCTTTAAAAAGGAAACAAAATGCGCAAGCAGAGCGTATGGGAAGACCAGCGGATTCCTCCTGTAGGTGGAAGATCCCCCAAGGATGGCAGGAGTTCCCTGAAGCTGCCCTTTGGCTTCAGCCAGCCCCTGCTGAGAATCTCATCTCTCTCTCTCTCTCTCTCTCTCTCTCTCTCTCTCTCTCTCTCTCTCTCTCTTATGTTCACAACACAAAAAAGTTAAGTACCTCTGCACTAGTCGAACCAGGATGAGTCTTGACTTTGAGGGCAGCTTCTAATGTTGTAGGCTGGAGACAGCATGAGGTGGAGCATTCCCTGCGTCCATCCTTCTTGTGTAAAGGAGGAAGGATCACCCAAGTAGGATTCCTCCTGGCCTCAGTCAGTACCCACCATTCCCGATCTCTAATACCAGCCAAGGGGCCACTAGAAAAGCCCCCTGAAAATCCAGATAGCTATTTATCAGACACTTGTCTGCTAAGTGCCGATCTTAAGGCTGCCAAATGTTTATCCAAGGGGGAAAAAATCATTTCCCGTGCAATCCCAGAGGGAGGATCAGCGCACACAGCTTGTCCTGGCCCAGGGTTGCCAACTCCATGTCATGAAATTCCTGGAGATTTGGGGGTGGAGTCCAGGGAGGGCAGGGTTTGAGGAGGTTTATAAGATCATGCATGGGATAGAGCAGGTCGAGAAAGAGGTACTTTTCTCCCTTTCTCGCAAGACAAGGACTCGTGGGCACTCCATGAAATTGCTGAGCGGTCGGGTTAGAGCGGATAAAAGGAAGTCCTTCTTCACCCAAAGAGTGATTAACACTTGGAATTCACTGCCACAGGAGGTGGTGGCGGCTACAAGCATGGACGGCTTCAAGAGGGAATTAGATAAGCATATGGAGCAGAGGTCCATCAGTGGCTATTGGCCACAAGGTATAGACAGGAACTCTCTCAGGCTGGGGCAAGGGATGCTCTGTATTCTTGGTGCCTGGGGGGGCAACAGTGGGAGGGCTTCTGGTGTCCTGGCCCCACTGCTGGACCTCCTGATGGCACTTGGCATTTTTGGCCCCTGTGTGACAGAGTCTTGGACTGGATGGGCCACTGGCCCGATCCAACATCGGCTTCTCTTATGTTCTCTTATGAGAGGAGGGGCCTCAGCAGGGTATAACATCCTACAATTCCCCCCTCCAAAGCAGCCGTCTTCTCCAGGGGAACCGATCTCTCCCGTCTGGAGATCAGTTGTAATTCCGGGAGAACTCCAGCTCCCACCTCGAGGCTGGCGATTCTATCCAGGCCGGGTAAAGACCTAGATGAGTCAGGCCACCTTAAGATCATTTCAGTGCTCAGGCTGCTGATAATGACCCACAAGATAAGAGGGGTTTCCATGACAAAAGTTGGTAAACTTAAGATTGTTTGAAGCAGCTGTGCAGCTCGGCAGGATGGACAGAGGCAGCCTGGCAGCTTCCCTCTACCCAGCCACGGCTCCTGTTTGGCTGGGCCGGTCTCCTGGCTCCCCTTGGCTGGCTGGGCCAGGGCAGAGGGGTTCGGGAGAGGTGGCAACCTGGGCCATCCCCCCCCCCCAGGACTGGCCTTTCCCAGAGGCCATAATGGTCCATCAGCCTGCAGGTAGGGTAAAGTTCATTCATACTTTTGTTATTAATAATAATAATTAAATTTATAGACCACCCTCCCCCGAGGAGCTGCGGTGGCTCAAGTGGTTAAGATGCTGAACTGCAGGCTGTGGAAGGTCGGTAGTTCAGCAGTTCGAGACCCAAGTGTGCCGCATGATGGAGTGAGCTCCTGTCTCTAGTTCCAGCTCCTGCCAACCTAGCAGTTTGAAAGCAAGAAATTGCAAGTAGATAAATAGGTACCACTTCGGTGCGAAGGTGACAGCGTTCCGTGCGCCTTGGTGTTTAGTCATGCCGGCCACACGACCTTTTAAAGACCAACTTTAATGCCAGTAGCTCACGAAGTAGAACCTTTGCTCACAAGCTTAGAAGGAGCATTGCCCATAGGTGCGTTGGCCCCATAGGTCAATCAAGTGCTGCCCGTCACAAGGGAGATTTTGTTGCTGTTGTTTTGGTCTCACTCACATCGTCTCACACAGACCTGCATCCGAAATTAGAGTGGCAACAGATTTCCGGTGCTGGGACAGAGAAGGCTTTGTCCTACTGCGTCCAGAACACCAGAGAACACCTAGATCCAAGTAGCAGCTTAAAGACCAACAAGATTTGGGCATATACTCTTTGGAGAGTCAACGTTCCCCTCCTTGGATAGGAAGGTTATCTGACGAAGGGAGCGAAGACTTTCGAAAGCTCCTGCCCCGAAAATCCAGTTGGTCTCCAGGGTGCTACTAGACTCCAACCTCGCTGCTCTACTGCAGACCAATGGGGCTGATCTCTGAAACGATCTTCATGGAGAACACCAGAGGGCAGCCCAGTGCAAGGAAATAAACACAGGTATCACAATGATAAGCGGCTTTATTGTATACAGGGGAGCAGCGGGGAAGCAGGAAGGAGAGGGACCCCTTCTGGAGTGTGCAGAAGCAACAGTGGCTTTAGCGGTGGCCTGGCACCACGACTGTGCTACGTCCTCATACCAAGGAGGCCAGGAGACATCACGAGCGGCTTAAGTGGTGCCTTGTATTCGAAGGGAGCAGCTAATACTCCGCACAGCATTACAACCAGCTCTGGGGGCAAGAGAGGCAGGGGCACGGAGCAGCAAGCCGGGGAAGCAGGGTGCTCGGACCGGCCCGAGGGGAGCTGCCGCCTTTCCCATGGGGCTACGCGGAGGAGATGAAGTGGACCGGGAGCCCTTTCTCGCAGGTGACCCGGATCCTCCTGATTTTGCTCTTCCCCTTGTACCTGCAGAGCACCTTGCGCAGGAACCTCCTGAGCTTGCAGGTGGTGATGGGGAAGAGGGCTTTGCTGAGGGTGTTGCCGTCCATGACCTGCCCTCTGGAGTTGCAGATGGACTTCAGCTGCTCTTCGGTGGCGTGGATGAAGGTGTTCTTCTGCTGGCACTTCATGCCTCTGCGGCGCATCATCTGGTCACAGTACTCGTGGTTGCTGCCGAAGTTCGTTTTGGGGTTGTCCAGGTGCCTCTTCAGAAAGCTTTTGTAGGCCGTGCCTTGGCAGGGCAGCCACAGACAGGCTGCCGTTGCCAGGAGCAGGAGGCAAAGGGTGTGGCCGGAGGGACCCCCGGGAGACACCATCACTGGGACCTTTGAAGTGGTGCTCTCGATCTGCAGAGGCGAGAGAAGGAGACGGGGGGAAGAGCCTCACCTTCAACAGCTGCCAGAAGGATAGGGTTGCCAGCCTCCAGCTTCGGCCTGGAGATCTCCTGCTTTTACAACTGACCTCCAGCTCCCCTGGAGAAAATGTCTGCTTTGAAGGGTGGACTCAATGACATTGTGCCATGCTGAGGCCCCTCCCCTCCCCAAACCCCGCCCTCTCCTGGCTCCACCCCCAAAGTCTGCAAGACTTTTCCAACCCAGACCTGGCAAAACCCTACAGGAGTGCCACTGGGACGGGTTGCCAACTTCCAAGGACGGCCTGGGGGGGTCTCCTGGAATGACAACCCATCTCCACACCATCGAGGTCTGGCCCCCTGCACAGTGGGATGTGCGGCGTCCTATCCCTTCAAAATCTCCAGGAACTAAGAACTTACTACAAAATTGTTGGAGGTAGCAGAAATGGACAAATTAAGTGTAATATTACAAGGGAAAGATGATGAAGTATTTCAAGAAAGATGGGCAAAGGTATACAGATGGATAAAGGAAAAGAATAAACGGTAGACTCAAGAATATTTATGTAAATATTAAGATATGTATGATTATATTTTGTAAAATAGAAAATTAAAATTAAAAAAAAATCTCCAGGAACTTCCCAAACTGGAGTTGGCAACCCAGAGACATATTTCTGCACAAGCTATGGAAGCTACAGTTTAGGGGCCTGATGTTATGGGGGGGCTCGGCAGTCCAATGTTCCCTCTAAACTGTGGAGTCTTGTGAGCAAAAATTCTACTTGGTGAGCTACCAGCATTTAAGTTGTAAGCAGGCAATTTGGCTCCTGCATAAATTAGTTTGCTCTGGATCCCTCCTTCCTGAGCTAGGACAAAAAGGTGTGAGCTGGAGGCTAAAAAAACTGTGAGCTAGCTCACACTCACTCAGCTTAGAGGGAACACTGCCCTCCCCCCACTCCTAAAAATTACTGAATGACCATGTTGTGGGTCACCCCAGGGGGCCTGTTAAACTTGACAGCAATCTCAGCCTGGCCCTGGGCATAGGGGGTTCTGTCGGAGTAAAAAGAGAGGGGCCATTGGATCCCTTGCCCACTGCTCTCGCTCTCTCTCGTTTATGGTTGCCATCTTCCAGGTGGGACCTGGAGTTCTCCCAAAATTACCGCTGAACTCCAGACCACAGAGATCAGTTTCCCCGGAGAAAATGGCTGCTTTGGAGGGTGGACCCCATGGCATTGTATCCTGCTGAGATCCCTGCCCTCCGCATGGTCCACCTCCAAATCTCCAGGAATTCCCCAACCAGGAGCTGGCAACCCGACATCATGCTAGATTCTCAGGGAGGGACCCTCCTGCATCCCCCCCCCGCCGCCTCCCCCAGTAATGAATCTATGAAGCTGCTTCGTGCAGAGTCATGCGACTGATCCGCCACCCTCTGCACAGTCTACACGGACTGGCAATGCACGGGATAAAGGAATCGTGCTGCTTGACTACTGAAATTCCAGGCTATGAGGAGGACAGGTGCAGGACACAGGGTTGCCACTTCAGATTGGGAAACTCCTGGAGACTTGGGGGAGGGGGGGCTGGGGAGAGAAGGGACCTCTCTGGGGTCCAGTGCCGTAGAGTCCACCCTTCAAAGCAGCCGTCTTCTCCAGGGGGAGTTGGTCTCTGGTGTCTGGAGATCAGTTGTGATTCCCCTGGACATCAAGAGCATCACTGCCCCAGACAGAGTCTTCCCTCTATAGCTTGTGGCTCATAACCACTAATGGAACTCTGCCCCCATATGTTTATCCAATTTCCCCCCCCCTTGAAGCTGTCTATGCTCATAGCCACCACCACTGTTCCCTCTAAGCTGAGTTAGTGTGAGCTAGCTCACAGTTTTTTAGCCTCTGGCTCACATGTTTCTGTCTTAGCACAGGAAGGATGGCTCCAGGGCAAACTAGCCTATGCCATAGCCAAATCGCTCGCTCACAACTTTAATGCCAGTAGCTCACAAAGCAGAATTTTTGCTCATAAGACCCCACAGCTTAGAGGGAGCATTGGTGCCCACCACCACTTCCTGCAGCAGTGAATTCCGCACGTTAATGACTCGTTGGGTGAAGAAGTACTTTCTTTTATCTGTTCTATGCCTACGGCTCATTAATTTCATGGAGTGCCCACGAGTTCTTGGACTGTGAGAAGGGGAAAAAAGGACTTCTTTCCCCACGGCTTCTCTAGCCTCTCAGTCGCCCACGAGTGCAGCCTCTTTGGGAACGGGACATGATGGCTCTAAACTCACCCAATCTTCGTGCTCTTGGCTTCCTCCTAGAAGGACTGCTGAGGCTACCCGTCTCGGGCCTGGCTGCCTTCCAGGGCTCCTGTTATATATGGCCAGCCAGCACTCAGCGGTGGTGGAGAGGAAGAACTTCAGCCCCGGTTTAGTAACCCTGCATGTAGCAACCTTCTGAAGGTGGCGCTGGGTGGTCTGAATAAAATATAACAAGAGAAAAATACTCAGCCCTTGCTCCTAAAGGGTTGCCAATTCCGGATTGGGAGATTTCTGGAGATTTGAAAGGGGAACCTGGGAAGGGGGGAATTTGGGGAGGGATTTCACCCTACCTCAATATCAGGGCCGAAACCGAATTTGCACCAAGCTCCCCTGGGGCAGAGGCTCCATAACCCGATCCCCAGAGGGCCGCTTGCTTCAGTCATGCTTCTTCACCACCAGGATCTGCTTCTGGTCTCAGACCACAGCAGAAGCAGACACATTTTTAACAAGAGCTGTCTGAG